AGTGGTGTATGTCCGCACCCAGGAACTGAACCCGGGCCGCCGAAGCAGTGCATGTTGAACCTAACCACTAGGCCATGGAGCTGGCCCCCAGCTCCATGTCTTGTCTTTTTTTTTTTTTAAAGATTTTATTTATTTATTTTTTTCCCCCCAAAGCCCCAGCAGACAGTTGCATGTCATAGCTGCACATCCTTCTAGTTGCCGCACATGGGACGCGGCCTCAGCATGGCCAGAGAAGCCGTGTGTCGGTGCGCGTCCAGGATCCAAACCCGGGCCGCCAGCAGCAGAGCACGCGCACTTAACCGCTAAGCCACGGGACCGGCCCTCCATGTCTTTTCAACAGCTGGTTGAAACAACAGTCTTTCAACAACTGGTGCTAGGACAACTGAATATTCACAGGCAAAAGAATGAAGCTGAATCTCTACTTGATACCATATACAAAAATTAACTCACAATGGATCAAAAACCTAATTCTAAGAGCTAAAATATAAAACTCTTAGAAGAAAACATAGGTGTAAATCTGTGACCCTGGATTAAGCAATGGTTTCTTAGCTATGACACCAAAAGCATAAGCAAAAAAAGAACAAAAATAGATAAATTGGACTTCATAAAAATTAAAAATTTTAGGTAAGTGATACCATTAAGGAAGTAAAAAGACAATCCACAGAATGGGAGAACATTTTAGAAAACCATATATCTGACAAGTGATTTGTATCTAGAATATATAAAGAACTATTACAACTCAATAATAAAAAGAAAAATAACCCAGTTAAAGAATAGGCAAAGGATCTGAATAGACATTTCTCCAAAGAAGGTGTACAAGTGGTCAATAAGCACATGAAAAGATGTTCAACATCATCAGCCATCAAGGAAATGCAAATCAAAACCACAATGAGATACCACCTCACACCTACTAGGATAGCTAGAGTTAAAAAAAAAAAGGAAAATAAGTGTTGGCAAGGAGACGGGGAAATCAGAACCCTCATACACTACTGATGGAATTATAAAAACGGTGCAGCCACTGTGGAAAACATCTTGGCAACTCCTCAAGTGATTACATAGAGTTATCGTGTGACCCAGCAGTTCCACTTGGTATGTACCCAAGATAAATGAAAACATAAGTCCACACAAAAACTTGTGCACAAATGTTCATAGCAGTATTATTCCCAGTGGCCAAAAAGTAGAAACCACCCAAGTGTCCATCAGCTGATGAATAAACAAAAGACAGGGATATGCTGGGATATCTGGCATATCCATCCAGTATAATGTTACTCAGCATTGTCAAGGAATGAAGCACTGATGATGAGCCCTGAAAACATGCCAAGGGAAAGAGGCCAGTCACAAAAGACCACATATTATGTGATTCCATTTGTATGAAGTGTCTAGAATAGGAAGACCTATAGAGACAGCAAGTGGATTAGTGGTTGCTTATGGCTGGATCGGGGGTGCGGGGGTACCAAGGGGATAAAGAGGCAGTAGCTAGAGGCAGTAGCTAAAGTGTACAGGGTTTCTTTATGGGGTGATGAAAATGTTCTGGAGATAGAAAGTGGTGAAGGTTGCATAACCTTGTAAATATGCTAAAATCCACTGAATTATACACTTTAAAGGAGTAAATTTTGTTATGTGAAATATATCTCAATTTTTTAAAAAAATGATTGCATCAGCCAGACATAATCTTTGGGAAAAGATTAAAGTCAAGATGAATTAACATATCTGTGGACACTCAAGGGTACATTTAAACTCAGGATTCAAGGTTTCCCATTCGTTTAAGTGGGAGGCAGGCGAGGGGTGATCTGGTCATTCCTCTTCGGCACTGGGCTGGAAGGACTGATACATAACACAAGGCTGGTTTTCCCTAAAGCTCTGTTAAAAATTCTGTTCCCTTTGGACCAGCATCCAGCAGCTATTCCAACAGCAGAGTGGGTCTCAGACGTACAACTGGGGCTGGATATAGAATTACCAACATTCTCACAGCCACTCCTTTTCTATCTTGAATGCCAACTCCAGGCATATGGCTGGCAACTGAATAAACACCCGTTCTGAATCGCCACTTAGGACAAGCTTCCTGTGGAAGGTGCAGAGCACCCGCATCACGCAGCCTCTTGCAACACTGTGAGCACACAGGCCTCTCGTTCGCTCCTTTTCTGTACCAGACCTGGGCTGTGGTTTTATTGGTGGCAGAAGGTGAAGTATCTGAGGTGCTTTCCAGATCAGCTGATAACTTCCTAGTTAACCTTTGTGTGTGTGTGTGGCTATTTTTCATGGAGAGTATTCTGACACATATTGGCCAGATCTCGGCCTTATCAGAGTACGTCCACCTTGTTAGCCCCTTCTTGGTGACTCGGTCATCTTTTGTGAATGTCAAATATAATATATAAACCTTTCAATCACTGTCAAAATGTGCTGATCTTATGCTAAGTGACCTCAAGCCCATTTTGCATTTAGAATTATATCATTTTTCACAACTTTTCTGTCTTCTCCCTCAAAGCCATCTGGTCACATCTGTTGCTGAGAGCCACCCTTTGCGTTTCTAATAATCAGCGATCATGTATACGCTCCACTCTTCACGCTGTCTGCCTGGGCTGCTCATCAGCCTCTCATTGCTTTCTTCCCCATCTCTGTTGTGCTCTGAACATTTGAGGTCACCAGGCAAGTGAATGAAGATGGATAAACAAGGCAATATTATTAACTCATATAAAAGGAAACTTTCCACACAACCCCCAAAATGCTCTCCAGAAACACACACTGAATGGCTGACCTCTTCCTAATATCAGCATTTCTGCTTTTGGGTTTTTTTATTTTAAAAACTAAAGGGAGTACATTTTATTTTTTTCTGAAAGCTTCTAAGCTAAACCCTCCTTTTGTTCATGAGGGGAAGGCCTGGAGAGGCTGCGAGGTCTGCTGGAGGCTGAGCCTGCAGCCAGCTTCTGCTGCTCTTGGGCCCCACGCTGGAGCCGGCCAGGCCACGTGGTGCCGCAGCTCCGCCTGGGGAGACACTGCCACAGTCACATGTTCCCCTTTACATTCCTTGTACAGTTGTTATTAATTTAGAAGAGCTTGAGGTTTAAAAATCAACCAGTACTTTCCATTTAAAACACGTAGGTATACATTTTCTCATAGTTGCGCTGAAACTAGACATCATCTGTGAGCTTAAACCAGGCCCGCCCGGCATCTGGTCAGGATGGCTTGGTGTCTGGACATGTTCTTGCTCTATCAGCATCTTTCATACACAGGGTCTGGGAGCACTGGCCTCTCACGCTGGCAACAAGCTCAGTGATGTGTGGGCTGGTCTTTTAAGAGCCGTGACACGTCTTTTGTCCCCACAAGACCCCATCTGACAGAGCTGACTTGGTTCAATCCACCAAGGACCTGTGGCCTCCAAAGGCCCCAGGCTCTGCCCACTCACAGTTTCAGCCCCTTGTCTCGGGGGTTCTCTGACTGGCTGCTAGACAGGCATTTCTCAGATGAAGCTGCACCTCGCTGTTCTTCCGTGAGGCTTGGGACGGCCATGATGGCAGGGCTTGCACCTGACTCCAGTGTCAGCTTCCGTGTCTTTCAAAAGCTGACCCTAGGAACTGGAAACCTCACTGTGGAGCTTACTTTAAAAGTCTCCCATGGGCCGGCCCCGTGGCTTGGTGGTTAAGTGCGCGCGCTCCGCTGCTGGCGACCCGGGTTCGGATGCCGGGTGCGCACCGACGCGCTGCTTCTCCGGCCATGCTGAGGCCGCGTCCCACATACAGCAACTAGAAGGATGTGCAGCTATGACATACAACTATCTACTGGGGCTTTGGGGGGAAAAAATAAATAAATAAAATCTTTAAAAGTCTCCCGTCACCCTAACCTTGCAATCTCTTCTCACAAGAGCAATCAAAAGACAGTTTTCCAGGACCTGAGAAGATGGAGCCACCTGTTACTCTATCTATCATGAACATCCGTTCAGGTTCCTGCAAAGCTTTGTTGTTGTTCTGATGACTGGAGAGTCAAGTGTAAATCGAGGTGTCATTTCTGGTATTCTCTAGTTTTGTGGGGTGGGGGGGTTGCTGCTGCAAATACTAGAAAGAAGTGAACGTTTCCAGAATTATTATATTATGTGGGGGAAAGCCAACCCTGCCTTAGAGTTGCAAGCCTAGAAATTTGTGAAATTCTACTTCATTTCCCTGTATACTTTTGACTCTAAAATGGTACCCACCGTTGAGAAGCTGACCTAGCAGCACACGCTCCCCGAAACCCCGTCACCCAGAATAGCTGGGCATGAGCCTGGGGGAGACACTCGGGTTGCCAGGGGAGTCCAGGTGGCCCCACGCTGTGCAGGAGCCGTCTGCCACAGTTACCAACGTGTGGGCCAGGGCCATTTGGCAGCAAGTGTCAGGATGGAGCGGGTGGGAGCGTCCACTCTGGTGGGCGCCAGCTCATGGCCCTCAGTTGGAAAGGCTTTTAAGGCCAAATGCTAAAGTTCTAGAGAAAAACAGTGGTTTTACAATGAGAAACCTGGCAGACACCTCGTCCCCTCAGTCATCAGGTCAGCATCACTGTGATGAGTCAGCCGGACTCTTCACTCAGGAGGGCACTTCACAGCGGGCCTGACCGGCTTCCTCAAGCCACCCTTTGTCATGAGAGACAAGGACAGACGGAGGGGCTGCCCCAGATCAGAGGGGACTCAGGAGGCAGGACGGCCAAATGCTGCAGGGCCTGGGTGGGCAAACCGGTGATACGGGACTGAAGTTGTTCTGTAGCGTGTTCACACCGGGTAGTGGACAGTGTGGGAGCTAGAGGCTGTGGGGCAGTGTGAAGATCTAGAATGGGCGGCGCCGTGAGCACAGGCAGGAGTGGGGACGGCCGTGGCCAGGGCACCATGATGCCACACACTGGTCGAGCCAGTGCCCATCTGAAACCTAAACACTTCAGGGCACGTAGGAGACACTTCAGACAGGTTTTCGCTTCGTTTCAGTCACCTGGAACAGCATCCTCGCGCCCCATGACCTCTCTATGTCTTCTCCCCACAGGAGAAATACCCAGAGGCCGTGCACCTCACGGAGGGGGCCTCCTCCAGCTGCATGGGGGTCCGGAGCACCAGCCAGCCAGGGTGAGTGCAGACGCCCATGGGGGCCTGGGCTGTCCTTGCCAGCCAAGTCCCTCCCCAGCACCCAGACGGTCATTTCCTGTTGAAAACGAGGATTAGAAGTAGTAGGAAGTGTAAGCCACCTCACTGACGTCTGGATCTGCCTGTGGAGTCACAGCAGATCTGCAGCCGCCACTGAGCCAGGTCCCAGGTAAGGGAGGGTGTGGCGACAGGGCCAGCTCAGCACAGGGGCCCTTGGGGGCCAAGGACGGGGGCTGGGAGGAGGCAGAGCTGTTTCTACCCCCTTGCCTCTCTTAGAAAAGGTCGGGAGGCACCGGCAGGAGTGAGGGGAGGACATGCTTGGGCTCCTTCTCCCCCGTGGGCACCTTGTGTGCACCTGGAGAGCAGCCTGGACGTGCTGTGCTGTTAAGACCCGCGGACAAGTCTGAAGAGGCTGTGTGTGGACATGGAGGCTTCGGGACATGCCTTCTGGGTTATCGTCACCTCTGGTGGTGCATGTAGCTGTAGTTTGTTCGTTTTCCCACCAGTAACTTTTAAGTTCCTGTTGCTCTACATCCTGTGCTTCGCTTGTACTGTCACACTAGTATGTATCTTACCGTAGTCTTGGTTTTCGGTTTCCTGTTTGTTAATAATATCGAACATCTTCAAGTTTAACTGGCCGTACTTCCTCCACACCTCTGGTAGACGTCCTTAGGAGCAGGGGCGGCTGGGCATGGCCCCAGGAACTCGAGGAAGGTCGGAAGAGAGGGGTGTTCTCCCACAGAGACAGACAGGTGCTGCATACCATTCACTTATTCAACCAGATTTCAAACAGCACTTAGCGACATCTCTGCCTCTTTCAGGTTTGAATTAGTCATTGTTTGGAGGATACAAATTGGTGAAGAAGGAAAGGTTTTGCCGAAGCTGGATCTCCTCACTCAAGTGCCACTGGGAGGTAGGGTCTGTGTGGATGTTCCTTATGTGCCCCACAGAGACGCTCCTTACCTTGTCTGGTATATGGCAAGAATCAAAAAAGTTGAAAAATCTCATTAATGTACTTTTTACCTCCATTTAAAAATTATTTTTATCAATAATTGCTCAAAAAGCAAAGGGGATTGCTCCCCCCAGGCCCTACGGCTGAATGCACCAGGGCATCTTCTGTCTCTGCCTCTGGCCCACAGGGAAGTGCTTCAGGCACTGTCACAACAGTCAGCCCAGCGTCCCAGTCAGCCAGCGTGGCAATCAGGAAGGAGGGGAGGGTCTGGTGAAGTCTCTTACCCACTTGTTTTCTTTATAGCCCTGGAGCTGGACAAGAACCGAGTCACAGAAACTGCTCCTCTCAGCTTCCGAACCCTGCTGGGTGTGCTGGGCATCGAAGCCACTCTAGAGAGCCTGATAAAATTACTTAGCACAGAGGCAAACGACTAGTTCCCAGACACTGAGCACGCAGGAGTGAGACACTGCACCCGGAGGCATGAGGTTTATTGAGTATAAACATTTGCTACTTTCCACGTAGAAACCATACCTTCTGAACATGTTGTCTATGCAGTTATGGCACATTGAAAAATAAATACAGCTATAAATAAAAAACGCCAAACAAGTAACACTTCGAGTATTTCTAAAATAATAACATTTGAGAAAGTACAGGAGTGTGTGTCCATCCTTGGATGTGGGGAGCGGCTGTGCTCCCACCTCACACACAGTCTGAGGGCGGAGACAGCACCAGCCTGTCTCAAAGGCGGGCCCCCCTCCTTCCTCCTGCTGCCCACCACTAGGGGGTCTTGGAGGTTCCTTGCGATGGAGATACCCTGGGGAGACGCAGCGCCCTCCCCACCTCCCAACTCTGGAAGGCAACACTGGAGTCAGTCACAGCGCCTCTCAGCAAGTCCTCTGACATTCATGCTTGGTCGTCCACAAAAACATGGACACAGTAAGACAGCAGAGACAGCATCGTCCCTTCACAGGGGGCCTTAGCACCCCGGTCCCTCCACACACACAGAAATAGGGTCTCTCTTCAAGGCCCCCAGAGTCTCAGTGCTGCACAGACCTCAGGTACCCGTTTATAATGTTGTCAGAATCAGTGAAAATACTGTTCCGACCAAATGAACGCTGCAGTCGGGAAGATGTGGGGGTGGAGTGTGAGCAGAGCAAAGGGCTGAGCCAAGACTGCGTAAGCAGGGGGCGCTCGTCTGTCTCCTCCTCCCCCCAAGTGGAAGGCAGTAGTTTGTTTCAGGCTGTCCAGGCCAGCCAGGACAGGCCTGAGAGGCTGCCCAGCCCATCATCTCCTCGAGGGGCCAGAGTTCCGTGCACAGGCAAGACCATCCTCACCCCAGGCCGGTAACAAGGAACGACCTCAGGTCAAAACAACACTGACAGCCGCTTCCCTCCACGCTGTGGAGCCTGAACTCGCCCCTGGGAAGGCGGCTCCATGCACATTCCTGCAGGTGGAGTCTCCAAAGGCCCCAGACCCCACACACTCGGATGAGAGACTTGCATCATCTGAGTATCTTTTTGCACCTCCAAGTGTGGAAGCAAGAAATAAATGTTTGTTTGTTAGGACAGAATTGAAGAATAAATTCTAGAAGAGTTAGCTTGATTCAAGCAAGTGTAATTTTCAAGTTATCACAAAATTCCCCACAAAAATTTACAATCAGCAAAATATTCTTAATTTTCATGTAGCATTTTCATACAATTCCATGGTTTCACTAAAATTATAATATTACGTTACAGTAAGCCTTCATTAGTCCCTCAAAATGATGATATAAATAATCAATCTGTACAGCCTACCATAGAATAAAAAACCAAAGCCAGGATTCCCAAGTTTTCAATAGCAGCCGGGCACACTTTTGGTGACCCCAACAAAAACCCTCTTGGTGCCAGCCAGGAGACGCTCATCTTGCAGAAGCAGAGCCTCGGGCAGCCCTGACAGGGAGGTGGCCCAGCACCACTCAAGGCCACAAACCCCACAAGGCTCAGTGAAACCCGAGAGAGGAACAGGTATGGTGAGGAGGGAAAACTCAATGCTGGCTCTGGCAGAACTGGCTGAGGTTCCCCAAATACCCAAACAAGCCATGAACACAGAGCTGCAGGAGCACAGCCACCTTGGGACACCCACCCAGGGCACAGCAGCTCAGAGTGGCAGCTCTGCTTCCAGCTTCCACAGCAGCAATTTCAGGTGGGAAAAAATGCCTTGTCTCCCCTGAAGTTAAAGATAAAATCATTCAGCAAAAAAAACCAAGTCAATGCTCGCGTGAGTGGTGTCCACCCCTGACCTGAGTCCCACGCTCCCTGCTGACCGTGTGCAGAGTGGTGGGTGCAGCACTTCCACAGGGGCCCGAGTCCACGCTGCTCAGAACCAATGCCCGTACAACCACCCATCGCTCTCCACAGCAGGGAACCACCAAACCTGTGCTGACGTGTGGCTTGCACTGAAAAAGTGACCAAGTAACTCAGCTGGGAAACTTCCAGTAGTATCCATGTTTTCTTAAAAGTCCAAACTGTAAGATGTGTGTGACAATTCAAGTTTTCTATGTTAGGAGTCTGGTGGTTGGAGAGCCAAAGCTTGGGTCTTAGAATAAGGCTTTTTGCATTAGAGATTAGACATGAGCCCTGGGTGGGAAAGAAGACCTGCCTAGGGCGGCCTCCCAAGACACAGCACACTGCTGGGCCCAGTCGGACCTTCCTTGTCCTGGGTGTTCCTAGGGCTCTTCCCTTGCGTATCTCCCAGAGGCAGTCAGTCCCACCTGAACGGGTTAAAAAGCAAAAACATTCACAGCCAAAAGTCACCCAACACAAAAGAAAATAGCTCTATTATTCAACCTTCACATTCTATGTTCAAGTTTCCAAGACACTAAAGGAAAAAGTTAGACCTTATGGAGGACTAACGTGCAATCTTCGCTCTCCTTGAACCTAGTCGACATCATGGCAGTGTCTTTGGCATGTATGGTCTTTGAATAGTAGTTGACTATCTTGCCATCCAGTTTATACTGATGAGGGATGCTCTCATAGGGCTTGAGGTCGAGGTCCAGGACAGACACGGAGAAGGCAAACCTGGATCTTGACGAAGGAACGATGGGCCTTTGATCGGAGCTGAAAGTAAAAAGCCAATTTCAGAATACACAAACCTCCCAAATCCTCTCATCCCAGCTCACAAAGACTGCCCATTCTGTGTCTATGCGCATTCTGTCTGTCTGTGCCAGCTGTCTGCACTAGCGCTTGAAGCTCCTGCAAGTGAGGCACCTACTGTGATAACCGCAACCACACCAGACAAGAGAGGGTTAAAGTGCAGAAAGATGGAAAGGCAATTACATAGAATGCACCATTTATATTTCCTAAATCCCAGTGGTATAAACGAATGCTGAGAAAGTTACTTTATCCTGAGCCAAGTATTACAAAACCTAAGAAAAAGCAGAAAGTAGATCTGGCCATTCAACAGCCAAATGGATAAAATGTTGAGAACAGACGTCTCTTTATGTGCTTCTTCCCGTGTCTGGGGAGAAGCTCATGCTCCTTGATGCTTTTCACACTTGAGAGAGATCTGGTTTCATGTTTTATTCTCAAATCGTATCTGCAGTGTTTTGTATTTTGTTTTCTTAGGGCTTAATTTTGTGGTTTTCCTACACATCGGAATAGTCAGATGCTTATAACAAAACATGAACAATTACTTGTACTTAGAAACACGTTCAGGCTAATTCTGAGTTGTGCACTGAGACTGCTGTGAATCCACGTAGCTCTCAGACTGCTCGGTACACAGCAGACATCCAGATGCTTGGGGCTCGAAATTGGCTGAGTCCCTGAGCTCAGTGTAGCCCGAGAAGCAGTGGGGAGTCCTGGCGGCCCCAGGCTTACTACTCTCCTAGATCTGGAAATCGGTGAACGAAAAACAAACAAAACACCAATTTCAAAAGCTCCTGCCTGGGAGAGGAACTGCCTATGGACACCCTCCTGTTGACAAAGCAAATCAAGGCCTCGACTCTCCCTTAGTTCCTGCTCTGATATACATTTACAGGAAGACGAACCCTGGGCTCAGCTGCTGGGGTCTTGGCTACTCCCTCCTGAAGAGCAGAGAACACTTTACAAATTAAGGTCTTGTTTTTCAGTCTCGCCCTCGGGGCCTGAAACTCTGTGCAGCTGGGCTGGGACAGTCCATGTCTCTAGCCCTCGACAAGTCTACACGTTTTAAAGGACCCCCTCAGGGCCGGCCCCGTGGCTTAGCGGTTAAGTGTGGGCGCTCCGCTGCTGGCAGCCCGGGTTCGGATCCCGGGCGCACAACCAACACACCGCTTCTCCGGCCATGCTGAGGCTGCGTCCCACATACCGCAACTAGAAGGATGTGCAGCTATGACATACAACTATCTGCTGGGCTTTGGGGAGAAAAATAAATAAATAAAGTTTAAAAAAAATAAATAAAGGACCCCTCAGTTTCTCATGTCAGAACCAGCGATTGACAAGATGACGTGAATAAAGAGGGGAATCCATCACTCAGAGGCAGGGTGGCCCGAGGGCCGCTTCTCCAGAGAGTCTTGACTGTTTGTCGACCACGAGCTCCCCGTGAGCACAGGGCACGGCTCCCGACACCTGAAACACTTCTCCGCCCTAGGCCTGAGACTAGTGCCCACGTGGCTCAGAACTGTCTAGACACGTGTCCCGGCTCCTCTCCTTGTGTGTGGGTTTCTGTTGAGGTGCAGGGTGGCAGGGCCCCAGGCCCTCGTTTGGCCCCTCACGTTTCTGTGCTCCAGCTGCATCCTTGCTTCAGGAAGGGTGGCAGATGATAACAGCTGTGACGTTTCCTCTCACCTAACACCACCAGCCTAATCCAGCAAATGGATTCCTCCTAGCTAAGCCCTGGAGACATTTTCTTAGGAATAAGGGGAGTTTTCAACTAAACAGAACCACCTTTTTTCGTATTTCAGTTATGCTCTATAAATGTCCCTTCGTGTCTCCTGTCAGAAAGTGGACAATTCTGTGCCTGCCAGGGAGCAGGACTCCTGGGAATGTTTGGTTCAAAAGCATCAGAACAACCGGTGGCTGGCAGCCAGCAATAAGGTCATCTTAACCCAGGAACACACGTCAGAAGAATGCGCAACATTCCACAAATACTGTGTGTGGGTTTGGCACCCTGAGGATCAATGCTGAAGATGCCATCTAATTACTAAGAGAAGATTATCAGGTTCATCCTGAACTCCTAAAAGAAGGCAGGGGAGGGGCCTGGATAACAGTAACAGTGTCCAGAGAGAGATGCTGCAAACAGGACGCAGAACAGTGGACGTGTTGTTTTAAGGGCTCTGCAGTGACTCTGGAGGTCGGCACAGGAGGACCTGGAGCGAGGCCCACGAGAATCTACAGCTTCTCAGGCCTTGGAGCCTTGACAGGGGTTTGGGGCTTGCTTTGAGAGAAAGGAATTTGCACCACAGTATCCAAACTGCTTCTAAAGCCTTGGAGCATTTTCTTAGAAAATAATAGTAATCTTCAATTTGACAGAATAATCTTTTAAAATTTTCTCCATAAATGTGTTTTTGACTGAATTACAAGCTTCTAGAGAGCACAAGTTAATAAGCCACATAATATCAAGTAGGCCCTGGAGATCGGCCTCTGCTAATAGATGTGATCCTGCCAGCTCTCTAAACGCGGGGACACCAACTCTCGTCAATCCATAAAATCCTGTTAGACCAAGGACACGTGACATGGCAGCAGGTGCCTCACCTTGTGTCCTGCAGACAGGGGGAGAGCGCGATCATGATGGAGCAGTCCTTCGCAGTCATGGCGACCCGGTACTGCTGAACCTGTGGGGGAGGAGAGGTCAGCTCCAGGGCACCCCGGCACTGCGCCACCGCCACACGCACCCTGCCCCCGAAGAGGCCACAGAACCCAGGGGTGGGTTAGGAAGCCCCAGGCCCAGCCCTGCCTCCTGACCTCTCACTGTAGGCAGCGTGTGGGCCCTGATTACAAACCCTGGAGCTTAGGACCCGTCTTCTGCAAGGCACCCACAGTCCACCTTGGAAGAAAAAGCAGTAAGTGCCTCAGCTCTGGGCGTGCCGGCCACACTGAGGCCGGTGAGTGAGCAGCAGCCACACCTCAAGGTGGCGCCGCACAGACGTCCACCAAGGCCCTGCTTAAAGCAACAGAGCATGCCTCAGGTCATCTCACACGCCAGAACGTCACACAGCCGCCATGAGTGACGGCGTAGGTGGGGATGCCAGGCTCTCTGCTAACTCACTTCATTCCCACAGCAGGCACCGCTCGTGCCCCAGGTCACAGATGAGGAAACTGAGACACAGAAGACCTATCCCTCTGCCCCACTAGGTGACAGCAGGGCTGGACTCAAAGCCAGGAGTCGTGGCTCTCAAGTTCGTGCTCTCTACCCCGGGCTCCGAGCACGTCTAGACCTGAATGAATGCAATGGATGCACTGGCCTGGAACGATGCCCACCAGGGCCCCCGACTCAAACGACACACAGCACGGTTTATAGGATCCAACTGGTAGAGCCATGTGTGTGTCACAGACACACAGGGAGAGCAGAGAAGATAGTCACCTCTGTAGAATTGGGGGCATTTTTTCCCCTTTCTTCTTTGAACTTTCATATATCATTTGAATTTTTTCGATTGAATAGCTCTCATTTTTACAAAAATAAACCAGTTACAAAAAAGGAAGTGGGCCTTACACGTCACTGGCCTCAATATTTGTGTGATGACAGATCACAGCCTCTTGTCTCCCTTCCTTGTTGTAATTCCCTTTGTGACGCAGGGGCAGGAGGACCTGCCCTGAGAACACAGCCAAGCTGAACCTTCCACAAGGCAGCCGTGCGGGAAAGGGCGAGAACCCCGAGTGCGGCTGCCTCGGCCTTGTGACTGCTCTTCTCAGGGCCGCAGAAACCTTTACAGTGGAAGGAAAAAGCAGCTCCTCTCCGTATACTCTATTCATTCAGCTAAGAAATCAGGTATTTCACAAAACATACAAAAACTTAGTCCAAAAGAATTAGAGATAAATATAAAAAACAAAGTATAAAATATTTATTATGTCCTAATCTGCAAGACACCAAACCCAGAAGCCATAAAAGAATATTGATAGATTTGAGTACCTAAAAATTAAAAGCTTTTATATGATACAGTCATAATTCAAATGTAAACGACCTGTGACAGAATGAGAGAAGACATCGGCAACATACAGCAGATGATCAACAGCAAGCATATGTGAAGTGTCAGATCAATACGAAGAAAGGAAACTACCCAAAAAACAATATGAACCAAATAAATTTGTGAAAGAAAAAAAGCAGCCAATAAGTGTATGAAAAAATGCTCAACCTTACTATTAATCAAAGAAATGCAAATTATAACAGTGACATATTTTTCATGCATCAGATGGGAAAAACTATGAACATATTTATCAGACGAAATGCGAGGGCTGGACTTGCATGTGGAGCAATGCTGGATGGTGCAGCTGGGGCCATGCCAACGGCTGAGTCAGCTACAGAAGCTGGACCAGGTGTTGACAATATCTGCTTGGTCTTTTTTGCCCACAGAGGGGGTGACAATTCTGGAAGGCCGGCCAAGAGGCACTTTAACCACCCCCAGGGCTATGGGGACAGTGACCATGATGAACCCCTACTTTGGGTTAACACCCAAAATGCTGTGCCTTAAGACTGCATGAGCCAGAAGTCGACAGGCCTTTCCAGAAGGAGCAGCTTTGCTTCAAAGATCAGTCACCAAAACTGGATTAAGACGAGCCCAGCTTCAGCCTCCTAGGGCATTCCAGGCCCCCGGCAGAAGCAAACCTAAAATTCTCTCTGGAAGAAGATATTGTCGGCCTCAAATTATTTCTAAAATAATTGTACAAATACAATTTCTGACACATAAGCAAAAATATCCAGGCACAAAACAAGATGACATGAATGAAAACCAGCAAAAAAGCTAGCCCACAACAGAAGGAGACGCACATGGACCCCATGACTGAAGGGACCAGGTGCACACATGGCTCTGCTCAAGGAACAGAAGCCAAAATTGAGAACTGGAGAGAACTGGAGACCACAAAAATGAACTGCTTGGAAATTCTAGAACCAAAAGATACAAAAATATTAAGAATTCAACAAAGAGTTTTAACAGCAGATTAGAAAAAACTGAAGAGACTTGCTAAACTGGAAGATATCTTAAGTCAAAAAAAAAAAAATCCAGAATGAAGCATGGAAAGGAAAACAGCTTGAAAATGTTGAGGAAAGGGCATCAGACACAGAAGATAAAGAGAATGTGTTTAATAAACATGTAATTGGAATCCCAGAAGAAGGAGAGAGGGAATAGGCAGAAACAAAATTTGAAAAAGTTAAGGCCGAGAATTTTCCAAAACTGAGGAAAAACATCAAGTACAGATTCAAGAACGACTCCAAAAAAATCACTTATACATATCACTAAACAAAACTAAGACTGAATCACCAGCAGACCTACACTCCAGGGAACATTAAAGGGTATTATTCTTCAGGCAAAAATAAAATGGTCCCAGATATAAGCTCAGAGACACAGGGCAATGCAAGAGAGAAACATGCGTAAATGGACACTGACCGTATAAAACATTGTCTTCTCGAGTTTAAAATAACAGAGTACACAGCAACAACACCAGTGTAAACCAGGAGGAGTAAAAAATACTCTAAGAACTTTACACTAAACAAGATCAGACTTGAATAAGTCAGCTGCCTGCAGCAATGGCCAGGATAACCACTAAAAGAAACGTAAAGACACTGTAACTTCCAAGCTAACAGTGGGGAAATGGAATGTAAAAAATAATCAACCCAAAAGACAGTTAGGAGAGAAAAAGAAACCTGAAACAGGTGGGGAAAATTAAAAGGTTTAAATCCAAGTATATGTCCAACTAAATGACAAAGGTAAAACGTCAGAATGATAGAAAAGCAAACCATACTTTAAATACAAAGACACAGAAAGATTAAAAATAAAAGGACAGAAAAAGATACACAGTGCAAGTATTAACCAAAGGAATCTAGAGAAGTTACACTAATATCAGACAAAGGAAACTCCAAGGTAAAGTGGAGATAAAGACACTGAAAATGATAAATGATGCTTCAAAATGAAAAATCCCATTCACTAGGAAGATCTAGCAATTCTAAATTTAATGCACCTGACAATATAGCCTCAAAATAAGGAAGAAACAGACAAATCCATAATTACTATGTAAAATTTCAAAACATCCTTCTTATGGAACATACAGACAGTAAAATTAGTAAGGTTACAGGAGATCTAAACAACACAGTTAATTGGACCTAATGGGCAAATATAAAACACAGCACCCAGCAATTTGAGAAGATGCCTTCTTTTCAAGTACACACAGAAGCATTTTTCAAAAAAATTAATCTATAAAGCAAATCATAACAAATTTCAAAGGATCAAAAGCCGATCTCAACAAATTTCAAAGGACCATATAGACTATAATGCAATCTTGCTACTAATGAAAACAAAAAAGATAATGAGAATCCCATGCATTTGGCAATTATCTCCCTTCTAAATACTTCCATGAGTCAAAGGAGAAATCTTCATAGTATTCAGAGTATATTTTAATTGAATGATACTGAAAATACAGCTTGTGGAATATAACTAAAGCCATGTTTACAGGAAAATACACAGCTTTAAATACATGTTTTAGGAAAAAAGAAAAGGTGAAAACCTAATTAGGTAAATAAGCATTTATATCAGGAAGAAGTTATAGAAAGAACGAATTACCCAAAGAAGGAAGAAAAAAGGAAATAAGAGCAGAAATTAATGAAATAGGGCCGGCCCTGTGGCTTGGTGGTTAAGTGCGCGCGCTGCGATGCTGGTGGCCCGGGTTCGGATCCCGGGTGCGCATCGAGGCACCACTTCTCCGTTCATCCTGAGGCCGAGTCCCACATACAGCAACTAGAAGGATGTGCAGCTACGACATACAACTATCCACTGGGGCTTTGGGGGGAAAAATAAAATAAATAAAAAAAAAAATCTTTAAAAAAAAAAAGAAATTAATGAAATAGATAAGTCATACAGCATGAGAGGATCATAAGTTAATTTTTACAAAACTAACAAAATTGATGAACTCTTGGTAGGATGAAGAAGGAAGGAAAACAAATACCATATGTCAGGAATAAAAGGGCGTTCTTCAGATCTTATAAAACATTAAAAAATAAAAGAATATTACCAAAAAATTATATGCCGAAATTTTGAAAATTTTAGATAAAACAATTTTCTAGAAAAATGTAACTTACCAAACTGACAAAAGAGAAATAGAAAATCTAAAATTGAGATCCTAATTTAAAATTTTCCTACAAAGCAACTATGGGCCCAGATGGTTCCACCCATGGTTCTACATAATATTTAAGGAAGAAATAATTGGGTCTTCCTGCACCTCTACCAAAGAACAGAAAATGAGCACACACTCTTCCAGGGTTGATGAGGCTGGTGTCCCCTTGATTCCAAGCCCTAACAAAGACATTACAGAAAACTCATATCACTCACGTATATGCAAAACACCCTAAACAAAATATTACCAAACCAAATATCATATATAAAAATAATAATACACCACAAGAAATTCTGTAATTAATCACATTAACAGAAAATAGGAGAAAAGTCATATGATCATCTCAACAGAAAAAGATAAAGCATTGATAAAATTCAACATCTACTCCAGATAAAAACTCTTAACAAATCAGGAAGAGAAGGAAACTTCCTTAATCTGATAACAGTTATTTATTTAAAACAATAAACAAAATAAAATCCCACTCCCCCCGGAAAAAAAAAACCTACAGCAAACA